GTCTGGGTTCCTCTCTGCTCGAAGGCAAAGAGTTCGACCACCGCAGCTGGAGACTAATTGCCGTAGCAAGTCCCAGGTATATTCTGTGCACACTATATATATTTAATAATATAGTCAGTCCACAATAGATAATAGAGAGAGGAAGAGAGTGACATTTCATTACAACACATCACCCGAGCTAATTTTCCCATGAAATTTTGCTCAATACCTTGTCTTTTGGGAGTGACTGACTTTTTCCTCTTCCTAGTACTTTTGAGTTTCACCAGACACAAAAAATTACATATCCATTCTACAAGAAGACATTCTCATAATATTTTTGGAGATTATTTTTAAAAAAAATATTTCATTAAGGATAGATTTTCAATAATCTCGTGACTAACATATTTATAATTTTATACTGTGACTGTTTTAGCTCCAGAAATTCATCTTATTTGAAACGCATGGCTTATTTTCGTTCATGAAATCAGAAGAATGTGCAAAAACCTTCTTTAAACAATTTTATCCGTGTTTTAAATACAGACATGGCGAATATACCAAACCAAAAGATGGCAGATCTGATAAATCTGATGCCAGTCTACCAATAACCAACTGCTAAATAAATTGTTTGCCTTGATCGTAAAGTTTTAAAGTATTTTAACAAAGTCTGTCTATATTTCTGAGATGAGGTATTATATACATTATTTACATTATTCAGACTATTATCCTCATCTTTGTCGCCATAAGTATTACAACGTTTCGGACGTTTTACGCTCCGGCCTTCGTCAGGTGGCTGGAATGGCACAGTGGATAAAGGCGTTGGTTAGATCCAGTAACAGTACCCAAAGAGTGTGAGTTCAATACCCGGTTAAGGCAGCGGAGAACTTTCAGGGGGAAATTAACAGGAGATAACTGATAACTGACATCCATCAAACATGGTACGTGGAACTAGAACAGTCTACCCCAGTGAGCGAAATAATGGGTTCAGTTCGACATTCAAACCACCTGAAGAAGACCGGAGCGTACAACGGCCGAAACGTTGTAATAAATATGGCGACAAAGATGAGGACAATAGTCCGAATAATGTAAATAATATTTTAACAAAATATTTCACTTTGAAATAAACTTGTAAAATCCATTTTTCCTGAACTTGATAATGACCAAATGTCAATTAAGCTAGACCGGATATCTCTAGACAAAGACGGCGGAATGAAAATAATCAACCCCAGCAAATTGAATAAAGGGTTCAGTTCAAAATTCCAGGAAGGTTAACCCGATCGACAGACTGATGAAGGCTGGAAGACACAGCGACTGAAAAAAAAGATAAGGATATTAGTCCGACTATAAATAACGTAAATAATAATTTCTCATCCAAGAAAATCAGACAGAAAAATACGCGTGGTCGAGAGTTATAGAAAGTAGGCGTTAAAACAAATTGAGTAAGGATTTGCCGAATTTTTGCCCACTGAGAAGGAAACGGAAAAAAAAGATGAGAGTGAAAATAAAGCACAGCCAAGGTTGTCTAGATGCTCAACATAGCCGACTTCCTTAAGTTTTCTATCGTTTCAATCTGTTTTTATCGCTACTCTTTTTAAATATCACAGATTGAAATGGCATTTATATTTTTTTGTTAAATAAAGAAAACGAAATGTGACATTCTGTATAAATCTGGATGAAAAATCACCAAAGATTCAATATATATCTTACAAAATTATTTTTTTAAAAGCGGCATTATTTTGGTTGATTTTATGCTCAGATTTATGAACGACTAGAGTATTGAGGGTATAGTCTCTCTCTCTCTCTCTCTCTCTCTCTCTCTATATATATATATATATATATATATATATATATAGTGTGTGTGTGTGAAAATGATTTCCAGTTCTTCATCTGATCTTTACATTCCAATTGCTTCTCGATCACTGAAGCGATTTTAATTCCTACTAACGGGCAGATTTCGTTTTCGCCTGCAAGATGGAGATGCTAAATAGTCTTATCTATACAAACGAGGCATCATAGCCCATGTCAAATTTATTTGCCCGTGGCTATGACGCAAGATGGGGCTTTTATCTCGAGCCGGTTAATAGATTTGAAGTGAAGTTGAATTTAATCTGAATTTGTTGGCCTTAATTAATAGCAAAGAAGTTATACCTGAATAGGTAAAGTGATTTAAATTCTGTTATCGAGATTAAATGGAATTTTCCGTCGATTTAAAAAGAAAAAAAAAGTCTGTATATTTTCGAATAAAACCTGCAGCTACTATGTATATATTAGCAATAAGAAATAGTAAAATATTCAATATTCTAGCACACCATATATATATATATATATATATATATATATATATATATATATATATATATATATATATATATATATATATATATATATATATATATATATATATATATATATATATATATATACACACACACATATATATATATATATATATATATATATATAGGGTTATTCAAAAAGAAAGAGATGATTTCTAAAATTTAATGAAAACAAATGCTAAAAGACAGAAATACATTCAATATATTGCTAGATAGGAGAAGTTACAAAGTTATTAAAATAAACAAACTTTTTCCAGTCTTGTTTAAATGCTACTTTTTGTTGCTTTTTTTTTTTACAGATTTTGTATAAATTTACGTTGTTGTAATTTGTGTCAACACTTAAAATGACTACACCGCAAGAAATGTCCTTTTATAATACTGTGATTTGTGAAGTGTAAAACATAATTTAATAAATTTTGAAAGTTTTCCTATCCAGTAATGTGTAGAACGTGTTTATGTCTCGTAGCATTTGTTTTTATTAAATTTTCGAAATCTGCTTTCTTTTGAATAACATATATATATATATATATATATATATATATATATATATATATATATATATATACAAAAGTTAATTTTCTCCATCAAGACATTCATTTCTGTAGTTCACTGCTGCTAGCAAGCATAATTTTTTTTCTCCTAATGATGGCCATGTTGGCCGAAACTAGTCGAGTAATCTAAATGAAATAATAATAAAAACGAAGGATATTAATATACAAACCAGTGTATCTGAAGATTTTATTTTTTTAATATTTGTTATTGTTCAATATAATAATGGACTCTCCCGTCGGTTTCGACGTATGAGGATCTGACAGCTTATTGATTCAGTTATGAAAGTTTGTGCGATAATCTTAAGTGGCATTTATGACCCGCTAGTGATTTACAAAGGAGGCCACATATGGAGCAAGTGTGAGTATTGTGGGATGAGACCACTGTTAGATTGGCTGACCTTTTATATCTTGCTCTCGCTTCTTGAAGATGATTCAGACAAGCAGATTGAAAAATGCTGAGTCCACTAAAACACGTTGATCTCCATTCTACCCGCTTCAAAGCTAAGCGCTCAAGAGTATATTGACTGCTGACAAGTTGCTTTTCAGCTTGTCTTTGTATCTTAGCCATTGTTCAATATATATATATATATATATATATGCTCGTGTTTGTACATTTCTGTCATATTCTCATCGACGTGACTACCCTGTGTCTTTTCTAAAAATATTTTCATGGCAATCGTCATGATGGTTCGTAAGAAAGATATAATCTCAACAGAGAAATAAGATATTGTAAAGTTTGTCAGTGATGGTAATCTGTGATGGAAATTGTGGAAAATTAAACAAAAGTTTACGGAAAATAAAAAAAATAAACTGAAAATATTGGTTAGATAGAAACAAGAAATATAGAGAGACATATTGAGAATAACAAAAAATATGATTTGAGAAAAATTGAATGGTAATAAAAAAATGGATGGGCCAACGAGAAAATATTTGATGAAAACGGTGGGCGAATGTAAGCAGAAAGAACAGATATAGAATTTTATGAACATACGCTAAAGGCATGAAAGCAGCCAAACTACCTTTTAGTAATCATCGCAAAGAAAAACGTCGGGTGAATGAGTACATCAAAGCTGTTTTTTACGCATCTGAATATAGAGCTGAATTCGATGGACTTGTTTGCTTGTTTAGAATTTGGGTCCTTCATGGAAATAGTCAAGCAATACTACTTAGATGATAATTGGTAGTTGGGATAATCTTTTAGCATAGTATTGCAGACATAAAAAATTTGATGCACTTGGAGATGAAGTTTGAGATGACCGTTGGAGCTGTATGGGTGAAAAGATTGTTTTTCTTATCGGATATCCAAATGATGCAGGTGAATAGGTTGCTTTTGATATGCACGTCGGCTGTCACCAAAATGGTGTGGAGGATTACTCACATCATAGCAGCAGAAATTCACGGAGATAGAAAAATACTTGACAGGGAATAAAACGTGCACAAATAACAGGAAAAGCATGGTAAATTGTATTTTAATTTCATACAGTTTATTTAAAAGAACATCGTCGACGACAGGAGACATCACTGGCGAAAGCCAGTTTGCAAGGAGAATGGCCCCATTCGGCTTCCCATCATGGATGACTTAGGTGGCATCTTCATACAGTTGTTGGATTATGTTGACGCACTTTCGTGGAAAGTCGTAGTGCTGCATCAGTTTTCAGATGACGTCTCTCTCGAAACTAACGGAAGTTTTCAGAATGTCGAAGAAAATTGGGTACATGGGGATACACCATTCCGGGACTGTTCCATGGTGATGCGCATTGTAGCAATGTGCTCTGTGCATGATCTATCTTGCCAAAAAGCCTGTCTCTTCTTCCCGAAGTGTCTTGTCCAATGCCGTCTTCAGTCTCTCTAGGATGATTTTTGTCAGTACTTTCCCTGGAATGAACATCAGCATAATGTCTCTTCAGTTGTTGCAGGATGACAGTTCCTCTTTCTTCAGCAGCTTCACTAGGTGTCCTTTCTTCCACTCCCGATTTCATGATCTCAGATCTCGTGCAGGTGTGGGTGCAGCATTGCCAGTTGAAGTTTGGATGTCTGCCTTCAGTGTTTCATGTGGAATACCGCCTGGGCCCGCTGTTTTGCCCGACTTAAGAGACTTGGGCCAGTGTTAATGTTGAGGAGTTTGGTTGGTGGTGAAATGTCTGGTGGAACGGATAGTGTGGGTTTGATGAGCGTTTCCTCTTATTCCGCCAATCTTGCCCTCTGTTCCTCTTCCCCTGAGATGGTACTGCCATTCTGGTCATTGACGAAGCAACTGGGCTTACTGTTTTTCCCAGAGAGTCTTTTTGATTTCATACAGCCTTTTCATGTTTCCTTGCCCCGCTGCAGTCTCTGCTTTCTGGGTCAGGTTTTCAATGAAGATTCTCTTGTATTTTTCACTTTCAGATTTTTCTCCCAGTCGCGTGTTTGCAATTCCAGATTCTCTTCTAGGTCTTGGGTCTGGTTGATCTGGTCTTTCAGTTCTTTTCTCTCGGTGATCAATGCCCATGTTTCTCTTGTCAACCATTCTTTTTATTTTCTTTTTTCCTCCCCAGGACTGTTTGGAATGTTGTCTTATAGCTCTCGTTCTTCTATTGAACGGCGAACTTTTCACGGAGTTCTGCACGTTCTATGACCTGGTCATTAGAGGCACCAACTTTCTCCACGAGATCATCCACAAGAAACTTCTGGATTTCGCCTGACGGAAAGACCGACAACCAGATCGACCACATCACCTTCAACCGAAAATGGAGAAGAAGCTTGCATGACGTCAATTTGATACGGGAAGCAAGCGCAACATTAGGCCACTACCTCAAGACCAAGCTGAGAGACTAAATCGACCGGGTTGAAAGAGTATTGCACAAGTTCAACGTAAACAGCCTGAAAGAGAAGGGGAAAGCAGAAGAATTCAAGCTGGAACTAAGTTCAGTCTGCTTTCTCAGTTGCCAGAAATGATAGAAAAACAGTGGCATAGCCTGTGCGGTTGATGATATAGCCCAGTACAATATCTTCACTACAATATCTTTAAATCAGCTTACCGCCAAGATAAGTGGTAAACTATACAGCCTCCCTTTTAGTGTTACAAATGGAGTAAATTTATTCCAGAGAAGCATCAACATCATTGATACGAAAAAATTGACAGATACATTTGTCTTTCTGCATAATATTACTATATGTTGGAAAACTCAAGAAGAACATGATTATAATCTTCAAAAATTCTATTATGTGGTTTAGAAGTACAATGTCACACTAAATAATAGTAAAAGTTACTAGTATCATTTAGGCTATTTCAGATACATTACCTGGGTACGCTATCCAAAACAACCACATATCATCTGACTAAAACAAACTTAAACCTCTTCTCAAAATGTCGTCGATTCTTAATATAATACAGTGTAACCCGGATGTAAAGAGACCCGGATATAAGAGAAACCCGGATATAAGAGAGATTTTCTCAGGTCCCAAATTAGAGCCTGTGTTAATGTATATAAAATAGACCAAACCCGGATATAAGAGAAATCCAGATATAAGAGACTTCTTCTCCGGTCCAGACAACTCTCTTATATCCGGTTTACACTATATCTCAAAAACGAATGTTTAGGTTGTTCTCATATTATGGTAAATTTATTCAGAACCTTTCAAACAAAATTCTACTATTGAATCACAACAAACTGTTTCCGCTACTCCTTTCAAATACCGAAAAAAGATTTTAAATTTCTACCTTAGTAAAATTTGACACTAATAAATAATTTGAAGTAGAAACAGATGCTAGCAATTACTGCAAAGCAGCAACTTTAAAACAACAGGGCCGGACCTGTTGCATTCTTTTCTCGTACGCTGAATCTTAATAAATTCAAACATCATGCTGTTGAAAAGGAAGCTGCTGCCATAGTCGAAGCTCTACGTAAGTGGCGTCATTTTCTACTTGGCAGACATTTCAGAGTCATAACAGGCCAAAAAAAATATTAGCTTTATGTTCGATAACACTAGTAAATCCAAGATAAAAAAAAAGTGTTAAGATATGCTTTTGGCGCATTGAGCTGTCCCAGTTTAAATTCAGTATTCTTTATCGACCGAGAATACTGTTGCTGATACTTTTTTTCGCATCTCTGCCCCCACCCACACGTTGCAAGACCTTCGTGATTCGCATCTTCAATTATGTCCGCCTGGAGGTAAATGTCTTTTCCACTTTACCCAAGCAAGAAACCTCCCATTCTCTTTAGACCAAATAAAAAGTGTAACCAACTCATGCATATTCTGTCAATATCTGAAAACAAAATTCATAACTAGTGTCCTTTCGCACTCATAAAAGCAATGCTATCATTCTAACGATTAAATATCGATTTTAAAGGACCCTTACTATCGTCTGTAAACGATAACAAATACCTATTTACAGTAATCGACGAATTCTTCCGTTTTCCGTTTGCTTTTCCCTGCGAAAAACAACACTAGCAGAACTATCACACATCGCCTGACACAATTTTTGGTATGCCTAATATAATACACACCGATAGGGCCTCTGACTCAGACGAAACCAAAAACTGCTTGCATGAAAAAGGCATTGCTACATCGTAAACAAGTAGATACCATCCAAAAATGAATGGGCAAGTCGAAAAACTTAATGGCACCCTATAGAAGGCTTCAGGTAAACTTAGATTCTAGTAGCATGAAACCATCCTACAGGGAAAAGGTCCTACCCGATTCACCCCATTCAATTACATCCTTACTCTGCACAACAAATAATGTAATCCCCCCCATGACATGATTTAAAAACAGCCGCAAATCTATAACCGGAATTTCGATTCTTTATTGTGCAAAACCAGGACTGAGATTCGCCAGGAACCACACCAAGTTAAGTAAGCATGATCCTTCCGTTACCTCTGATATACTTCTGGAAATTAATCCACACTCTGCGCATGTACGTCTACCTTCCGGTGTTGAAACTACAGTCAAATGTGCGCGACATAGCGCCCAAATCTACTAATGGAGAGAACATGACAACTCTGCCAACCCCGTAGATACCTGCGAATTATCTTTTAGTGTTCATGAAATTGCTGCCAGTGAAAACGAGGAGACACTAACTTCTGAACCTTAAAGAACAAACAAAACCCTGTGGAATTACTAATGAGATGAAGATCCTATTGAATGTATGCGAAAATCTTCCAGAATACGTAGAATTCCCAACAAATACAGAGATTGTGTAACTGGATGGATGACTAATAAATTCCCAACTGCATAATATTTCTTGAACGAAAAATATTGTGTAAATCGTGACAACCCCTAGATTAGTTGTACCCTAGAAAATACTCTACTGTATCCTAAGGACACAAAATTACTACCCTTCCCGTTAATAGCACGCCATATTCATGCGAATGTATGGTATGTATTTTTTTTTGCAATTATTACCTGTAAAAAATATGTAAAATAACCACATAGTAATTCTCAATTACTTTATTCTCGTACCGACGAGATACAAATACAAAAATATATCTGACTCCCGATCAGTCAGTTGTTTATAACACTGGACGAGGCAACATGTCTGCCTGTGGAAGTCCCCAATTATTTAACGATATCTTCCATTTCTGTTCTACATACACGCACCCCTCCTCTGATCACAGGTCGGATTGACATGGTCATTTGAAAGTTTGCCCCAGAATATCAGAGCGATTGTCCTCGCTTTTTGTGGTTACGAAATGATCGCGTGTTTCGACGTCTGGCAAATTACACATCTGGCATTGAGATCTGGTCTGTCGAACGCTGGCATCCAAACGCATCCAAAACAGGCATTGTCTCGCATTTGATATAGCATGCCATTTACACTCTGCTATGCAGAATTTAGAGATTCAAATACTTTCGCACGAATTTGTCGAGATATAAGGATTATATTCTTCTTGATCAGCACTCCTTCGATGCAGTACAATTCCTCGTGCATAGGCCAAATCCGTGAGATCACTGACGGGAGGTCATGACATGATTTAGAGAAACCAATTCGTATATATTACGTCATTCTTCTTCAATGTCTGTGGTGTCAATGATCCTACGCCATGTGATAGCCCTAAATTTAGGGTCATGCTCGTTTCTAGCCATGAATGCAGTTTTGATTGCACTGTCGATTGGTTCGACTATATCGATTGTGGCCACCTACTAAAATGACCCTCTACGCTTCTGTTTTATATGTGTAGATGATATTTAGAGACGACTTGCCGAGTCTTCTGATGAGATCCGTGCTAGGTATCGGGAGGCGCAGTCAGGTTCAGATTTATTTTTTACAAAGATATATCTCAATTTGTTCATTAGTTTGCGTTCCTTGAAATTAAAGAGACGTGGGTCCTGTTCTCGAGGGCCCGATCTGAGAACATTTCTATGAGTGGTTGATGGTCAGTAGTCACTAGCAAATCTGAGCATCCCAATATAAACATCCGACATGATTCTAGCTCATAGACAACAAGTACCAGGGCCTCACCTTTGACCGGTGCATAGCGAGATTTTGCGTCGTTGGTCAAAAAAGATCTGGCCAAAATAATTTTCCAGTGACTATCGTCGCAATTTGGATTCGCTTCGCCAGTGCAAGTGAAAAGGAAAGTAACTGATTCTTGTTTTACTGTAATCTGTTGAAAGTCATATCGTTCTATTGATCTCGAACGTCTTGACTCCGTGCTCAATATTCCACACGATTACTCGCTTCGGCTCCACAAAAAGTTGGTCAAACGTTTCGTCGCAATAAAATTTTCGGTTCTTCAAGTGCAGTAATCCCTGGAAGGGGGCATCATTTCACCTTGCGAGAATGCATAAGATCTGCTTCATTAGTCGAAACCAGAACCTGACTCTCGTGATATTTGTGGGTGTAGGAAAGTGAAGGGTAACTTCCGTCATTTTCTTCATTGTTTTCACACCGTTATTAAGAAGCCGGCAGACTCCACCCCATTCTCCGCAAAATAGAATTCGTTAAGGTTAAACACAACCTCATTCTTCCCACAGTGAGATATATTCCATTGTGTGCTAGAACGAGGACTATTGAATCGTTCCAGAGGAGGCTACCGTCTATAGAACGGGTTTGTCGAACCATGTCCATTGTAATATTGTTGAACCGACGGATATATCCATCTCCAGGTGCATGAAATCCATAGGGAGCACGAAGATATCTGTTCCGGTCCCTATTCTGTGATAAACGTAGTGGCATCATGTGCTGTTGGGGAAATCAGTAAGCTATGACACACGTTCCATGCGTCCAAAACTGTTTTCTTTGCCTGAGTCGGAAGGATAGAGACCTGATTAAATGAGGACGGTATGTGATGGGTTTCCCCTCATAGAGGCTGCGTTCAATTCTTGTAAGTCCACTGTACACCTGGGGGGAGCCGTATTTTTTGTGTGCAGCTACCATCCTTGAGCACCAGGTTGTAATAGTGCCCACTGGCACTGGTTCAATTATACCCAATGCGACGTCTCGGTTGAGGTCTTGTTTCACTTTTTTCTTCTTGGTGAAGGACAGGGATCAATGTGTAAACCGCTAATGGCCTCGCCCCAAGGACAAATGTAATTTCCAGTGGCTTTCCTGTCTGTAAGTGTTGGTGTGGGCATGTATTGAATGCGCTGGACGTGAAATAGTCACGTATACATTGTTGCAATAGGTGCCTG